ACCCCCCCCCCCCCAATCCAAGATGCTGCTTCTTTTCAGCAGAAATATTGCTGCATTAGAGAACAGGTCACTTCCTCTATCAGTGAGAATTCAGTGTCCTATTTGATGCTGGTCCTTGTGCTATAAATAGGATTTTTCCCCTTTTATAGTTGCTGAATAATTGTGTGTATGAAATACGAACAGTTTTCAAAAGAGTGCCTGATAAGCAGCTTGCTGGAATGAAATGGTTGAACAGAAGGAATTTACAGCACCTGCAGAGCATCATGTGCTGTGGAAAACATTCAAGGTCAACGTGACAGAGACAGGTCACAGAACAGATCCAACTACAGAGGATGTAGGCTTGGGCTAACCAGCCTCCCCACAGCAGCCTTTCCCACAGCACCCCAACAATTCATTTCACACTCCACACTTAGGCAAGGATCAAACGGAAGAAGCCCAGCTCAGAGGAGTCAAGACTTCTCCATCCCACGTACTAGAAAGCCAGGAGGAGCAGGCAGAACAGGTTTGTAAGACAACAGCAGGCAGGTAGTAGAGGACACAATCCCAAACAACGAGGAAGAGCAGAGTTTAACATCCATCATCAAAGGAAATTAGGGAAGAACACCACAAACGCCAGAGAGGCACAAGCTTGCCTTCAAAAGAGAGGGAATGCTAATGGGAGGTACAGAGAGGTAATAAAACCACCAGAGCACAGGGAGACTGAATGGCGGAAGAGGGAGAGCGCCCAATTATGCTGGAGAAACCAGTCATTTCTGGAGGAAACTGTGCATGCAGCCTGACCCTTTGTGGTGCCTGTCCACAGTGCCAAAACCAAAGCCCAGAACACAAGCGGGGCTGCAAGGGTGGTACAACCCCTCCCTCAGCACATCTTGAACAGCCTCCCTCTGAGATACCTCAGAGCACCAGGCAGGGTCCTGTGGAGGCAGGACAGAGGCCAGGAAATGCTCCTTGTTCCCTGTGTTAGATTCTGCCCTGTGTATTTATAGAGAAAAGGTATGAAAGGCAGAAAGCAAATGAGCAGAAACAGAAGGCACAATATGTGGCTTCCAGTTGCTGCAGGAGGAGAGGAAATAACATCAGCTCCTCTACACACTGGGGATGCAAAGAGAGGAGGGAGATGGCTAGGAATGACATCACTTAAAAACACCTGAAAGGAGCTCTGGCCAGAAAGGGTCAGGATACACAGGGGCTCAATGCTTTCAGCAGCACACATGAAGAAATGAGAGAGAAAACCAGCCAAAGACACCATTGCTATGGTGATACAAACCACCAGAACACACTCAGCAAGGAAGAGAGATAAAAGGAATTACAAGCCACATTTTCAGCCGCACAGAACAACATCCCTGAGATAGGATCAGGCCCGAGGATCCACCCAGCTCAATTGTTAGTTGGCTGTGCTGTCATCTGCCTCTCATCTTCCACGCTGTCTGCAGGTCAAAGAGGACACAGCAACAGATACAAAATGTAAAGGGGTTATTTTATTATTGATTCAGAGGTTAGACAAGGCACCATTTAATCTAAAAAGAAATGCAAAAAAACCCCAATTAAGGGTTATTTTTGCAGTCAATTAAGAAAGTCTCTTTTGCATTTCTTCAGCATTTTGTGTAAATTCCAGCTTGGTCAAGATCACAGAAAAGCCACCCCCATTGCCAAGTAAGGCAGGCTTGGACTAGCGCCGCGGCCCCTCTGTTCAGCAGCAGAGAAACGTTGAGGAGTCTCTATGCTGGGGTTTAGGAATGCAGCAGAACAAGAAAAACAAAACTTCCAGGAAAAGACCATGGCATCTTTTTTTTTTTTAACTTTCCATTTCAGAAATGATGAATCATTTGTTCATTTTGGTCCTCGCTGACAGGAAGGAACTTTAGAAAACTAATCACAGCAAACCTGGCAGTGCCCTCAGAGTACTATGAGCCCACGAGACAAGCCCTGAAAGTCCTGGAGAAGTCTGGAACAGCACCTAGTCCTACCCTAACAGGTCAAGGACCTGCCTCTGATTGCTGGCAGAGGTGTTTCACTCTGTACAATTGTTTTTGCCTCCCCAAACAGTGATTTCTAAGGAGAAGACCATCTCCTCTTCACAATGATTCTGCTGAATAAGAAATCCAAACAAAACCCAAACAAATCAGCCCCCAAGCTCCTTGTCTACCACCTCCTTTTACCCCCTCCCATCAATCATAACCCCCTCCCTGCCTCCCTTGCCCCCAGGTGAGGGCTGCAATGGGTGATGTAGCAGAGTATGCAGCATTTGGTGGTGTTTCATCTGGTTCACGTAGTCACTCAGCTGGAATAAATGGGAACAAAGAGAAAAAAAATAGATTTAGGGAAAAAAATCAAAATTAATCATGGTTTATGGCAGAAAAAGACTGGTGAGCTAGATGCAAAGTAAACACAAGCGGGTAGAGTAAAAGAAAATTGTTCCTGCCATGGAGTACAACTTGACCAAATCCAGAAACACCAACTGGCCACTACAGCAGTGCACAGGGGGCTGCAGCTCTCTGACTCTCTCAAGATAAAAGCTCCTTCCACTCAGAATTTCTTTACAGTCACCGAGATGCCAGAGCAGCTCTAACACATGCACTTTCCTCTCCATTTCCCTGGAGCACAGCAGTCCTATGCTAAACATTATCCCGACCTCCCAGCACGTTAACACCACGCGCCGGGGCTGCCCCTTCACAGGAAAAGCAGAGACAATTGACAAGGCACCGGCCATCTGGGGGACCTCAGGGGACTGCAGGCTGCTGACGAAACCAGCACCGTTTACTTTCAAACCCTCTCTCCCCGCAGTCACGTGCTTTCAAGTACAACAAGTCAACTGCTTTCAGTTCCTGGTGTTATTTTCAGTTTGCTGGAAGGGAAGAGGTTGTTTCCCTGGAAAGGAGGTACAAGGACAGAAAGCGGTTTCCCGACAAAAGAGAAATTATCAAGAAAAAAAGCAAAGGATTCCTGAGGATTAGGCATCTGCTCTGGACGCCCAGCCCACAGCAGCTCAGCGCACAGGAGGGAGAGAGGCCATCTCCTTCAAACAGGAGGGTACTCAATAACACTAAATCAGTAAACATACATGAAAGGCCAAAGGACAAAGTTTCATCTGGGCCAATCTGCATTTACAGAGGGGTCCTCTAGGAAGGGCTGGAATCCTGCAGGGGTAAAGGTCATCACCAGCCTCTCAGGGTCACCGTATAGCAGTGTAACAGCCCCGAGAAGCCGGGGCATTAACCACACCACACATGGTGTCCTCAAATGGGCAGCCCCACAGCTGTTTGATTTGCTCAAGAAACAAGCACATTTCCATGATCTCATAACGAAAGTCATTGGCTCAAGGGCACACGAAGCCAGTGGTTAATAATGCTGTCTCTCAGGCCTTAAAAAATTATTTGTTTTGGAGTAAGGCTTTATTTAGACTTTGGGATCAGGAGAAGCTCAACACATCTTCATCTCCTTGGCCAAAGCCAAGGCAAGAGTGAAGAGATAAAAGCCAAGTCCTTTTTTTGTTCTCAGGAGATCCCAGCTTGCCACACAGTGACTGTCAGACTCTGAGCAGAGGCTACATATTGTTAAAAGCAAACAAAAAAAAAAGCAAAAAGTATCTCACTAATATTTTCTATATTGGGGTTTGCAAATGAGGAGAGCCTGAAAACCCCTCAGCTCTCACACACCCTCTTTCTGCCCCACAAGCCCCATCAGGAGGAAGACAGTCTGTGCTCTCAGGTAACCTGCCATCCCACAGAGAATAAAACACACAGAACAGGAACAAGTTCTGACCCAGCCCCAGGCAGCGGGCAGCTGCACTCACAGGCACAGCCAAGCCGAAACACGGGGGTTGGCGTGTGTTATCTCCTGCAGCCCACAAAGAGCACCTATCCAGTGCTCTGGGAAGGTCCTTCCCCCCACTGCTCAGTCCTGATCTCCGACCTTCCACTAGTTCCCTGTGGAGCAGCCAGGAGGAGCTGAAAGTACAGCTCTTTCCAGGGAGCTACAGTTCTGGAACGAAACAAAAGGTTTTTGACCCAAAGTGGTGCAAAACCCATTTCTGGCAGCGGGCGGCTGGTGCTCGGGCTCGCTGCGACCCCTAGGGGCCAAATCTCCAGCATCCACAGACAGACGGACGTTCACATATACCGAGATAGAGACCGTTAACAGCTTCTTTAATAGTGAATTAGCACAGCCCTGCCTCGGGCTGCAGTGTCTGGTCCTTTCCTCTTTTACCCTGCTTAGCTCTTCACCCTCCCTGGCCCCAGAGAGACAGAGATGGAGAGACAGAGAGAGAGAAAAGGGAGAGCTCCGTCCTGGGACAGAGCCCTAAATGAACATAACCAGGTCTTTACATGTTGCTCTTGAGAAGGCTGCCAGGATGCTAGCAAACACCACGTCGGGAGACTGGGAGGCGTCCACCGCCGCGTGGATCCCTCGCTTGCTGTAGTAGGAGACCAGGGGAGAGGTCTGCGTGTGATAGGCCTTCAGGCGGGTTTTCAAGGCTGTTTCGTTATCATCCGAACGGCGGATCAGGGGCTCTCCAGTGACCTGGGAGAAGCAAGGGGACAGTCTCCAGCTAGCTGCAGCCTGGCACGCTCCCCCCTTCTCTCTGCAGCTACGACAACCCCTGCTCCCCTCCTCCACGACAGGCTACAACGCGGAGCTGCAGAGGCGATCCCCATGTCCGCAGGGCAGCGCGGGGCGAACCCAGGGCAGCCGAACCAAATCCCAGAGCAGTCACTGAAGAGAGAAGGATTCAGCATCGTGGTCTTTTCCCCCACACACCACTCTGCTTGCTATAAGGAGCCTCAAGAGCAGACACCAGCTACAGTTGCTCCCCAAGAGGGAAACCAGTCACAACCCACCGCAACTTGGACAGAGTCCAACAAGTTCTGAGGCTGGCAGAGCCCGGGCTGGCTCTGCAGAACGGCCATACCCTTCACTCATCCCTCCAGGCCTCGCTCCCCGCAGTGCCGTCGGCTCAGGCTGCCCAGGCAGTTCCCCACGCTCCCCAGAAAGCCAGGACAGGAGGTACGAGAGAAGGAAAGAAATTAGTTTTTCCAGGAATGCTGAAAAGCATTAGCTAAACCCAAAGCAACGCAAGCTGTGGCCTTGGGAGCTCACATACATCGTCCTTCATGTGCTCTTTTGGGGGTCTGAACTCCTCGTGGTAAGAGCGGCCACTCGCGGGATGAATCAGCCTAAGACAGAAAGCAAGTGTCAGCAAAGGAGCCCAGTGCCAGGACAAGGTCTCCTGAAGCTGCCACTCACCAGCAGATATTACAGAAACATCTGCAATAGCAACCTCTCACTATTAAGAAAAATCTCTTCTAGTTATTTCTGTACCAAGGGCCTCTTCAGGCATTTGAAAAAAGCAGCTGCACTAGGAGATGGAGAAGGGATTTTTATTTTAGGGTTTACTGGGGAAGGGGGCTGGCTCCTGGGGAAGTGAGGGTGACGCAGCCCAAGAGCAAACAGCAGGGGACGGCTGTGGCTGAGCCTGGATGGGGTGCTCAGCAGTGCCCTGCATGAGGGAGTGGAAACAGCTCCAGAGAAGCAAGAGCAGAGACATTAACTCTCAGACAGCGGGCCTAAAGGCTGAGCTGGGTCACCAGGGGCACTGACTGGTGTCAGCAACAACTATTTATAGGGCAACGAAGGGGCTATGATCAAGGCTGGCCCAAGCACGGGAGAGCAGGCAAGGGATCAGGGCAGGAAGGCTCGAACAGAGCAGAAAACTAAGAGAGAGCAGCCCTGCCGCTAGCCTGGAGCACGGTGAGAACGAGCTGGGATCTGAAACTGGGATAAGGAAACCCCAGCCCATGCACCGGGTGTTTGGGAAGGAAGAATTACCGTCCGGTGATTCTCCGGATCAGCAAGGAGTCAGGGATGCTGAACTCGATGACGGAGTCCAGCTTCTCCCTCCTCTTCTCCAGGAGTTCATCCAGCTGCAACAAAAACCACCCAACTCAGAGGGGCACCGAGGGACGTGTGTCCAGGGAGGGAGGAGATGTCAGAGCAGTCCCCGAGCAGGAGCCCACGTACCATTTCAGCCTGTTTCACCGTGCGTGGGAAGCCGTCCAGGAGGAAGCCGTTCTTGCAGGGAGGAGAGTCGAGGTTGTTCTCGATCAGCTCCACCACCATCTCGTCGCTCACCTGCGGAGAGACGGACGCACGCTCAGGAGGGACACCCCGATTTTACACAGCTGCTGGACCCACGCCAGCGCCCGGGCTGCACCGGAGCCTTTTCACGGCCGTTGCTGGTCCCAGAGGCAGCAGCCACAGCGCAGGGTGCTGCTGTTAACTGGGTCAAAGCCATGTGTTCAGACCTGCCCTCCTCAGAGGAGCTCTCCCTGCCGTGGGTGTCAACACCAAGACGTGGCTAATGAGCCACTTCACACTAGGGACACCAAGGCCTGCACAAGGCCTTGGACCAGCGCCGTGACCTCACCGTTACAAAGGTTGCTATATTCCAAAGGAGACTGTCAGCTTGAAGACAAACTCCTCAGATTTATTTATTTATTTTTTTAAAACCAATTCGTGACACAATATCAACGTAATCTTTATTTCCTGTTACTTTGTACCTTCACCCAGGCATCCCCCTCAGTAGGCAGGCCTGGCCAGGAAGGGCAAAGCAGGTGAGTTGCTCATTGATTCACATAAACCTTGTGTGAAGGTAAATGCCCAACAGCTGCTGACAAGCTCTGGCCTCACTGGATATTTTTTTCCCATATGACAATCTTAGCATACTGCTGAGTGCCTTTTCTACACTGCAGCATTTAGAAAGTACCAACAGATGCTGCAGCCCCAACGATAGCTGTTTATTTGAGAGTAATCTCCTCAGCAGTGCGTTTTTCTCCAGCACACCCAGCTGGGAACCAGCAGGATTGGGGACCAGACTGTGACAACACACGTAAACAAGAGTCCTGGAGCAGGAAGCATAGAGGCATGGGGCAGATTGGGTAAAGCAGCAAGTCACTTCTGCACTTCCCTGATTACCTCCTTCAGAGAAAGGGGTCCTGCCTTGTAATCAAGCATAAAAACCCACCCAGAACTCTGTTGTGCTCGCAGTGGGGTTATCGCAGAGCCAGAGCACGCTGCTGGGATACACCTGCGGAGCAGCCCGGTGCCGGCTGCCACACGCACACGTGGCAGATCCCACCAGCCTTGCCAGATAACGTCCCTATCTTTCACAACCAGCTGGGATATCGCTGGCTCGGTGTTGCAATACAAGCTTTGAGCGAAAGCTGGAGATAAGCCACATCGCTCTTCCCACCTGGGGCCTGCAGACTCTCCGGGGGGGTGTTATGAGCCTGTGACAGGCAGCAGCGATGCTCGAGATCTGCCCCACAGCGCTTAACTTTGGGGCAAGTCACTACAATTTGCTGTCCCTCAAGTTTCCCCGAGATATTTCAGTCATTTTCGCAAGATCAGTAGACCTTCAGAAAATGAATGTGTCAGAGATCCTAACTCTTGTCTCTTGGGGATCCAAAGCATCTGTCTTGCACAGCAGTTACTCAACATCGACTGCAACTACTACAGCAACACCCCTACATCTATTTTCACCTCACAGATGGCATTTATCCAAGAGCTGGGACGCAGATGAACCCTCTGAACAAAGTCTTTTACCCCACAGGAGTGAGTCCAGGCATCATGTGAAGAGATACAGGAGTCACAAAGCACAGCTGTAACATTCTGCAGCTCCAAGAATAAACCTTTAACGCAAACAGCATTCCAGAACCACAAAATCAGGCAGCCTGCCTGCACCCCGGGAGCATAAAACCACCGTGGCAGAAAGACCCAACCCACGGACACAGGCTGCTGGTAAGCAAGGAGCAATTTTGAAGAGGAAGGATGATTTTTAGGGGATGTTTTTCCTGCAGGATAACAACCCCCCAGCCTCTGCTTTCACCCTGCAACCTGCCAATCCACTAATTGGATTTTATCACTGAGGCTTCTTATTATGAGGTGGATTTTCCCCGCTCGCATTCCGGGTCCTGCCAGACCATCTCCCGTCTCAGCACATCTCCCCGCTACCCACCAGCTTCCCGGAATCCATCGTCTCTTTGAGCCGCTTGCCCAGCTCAGACCCCGAGGCCACCATGGCCCGCAGCATGTCCCCAGTTGCCAGGTGGCAAACGCAGTAGGTCTCAGCCAGCTTCGGAGCCTGCGGGAGAGCACAACACGAGGTGAGCTCGCTGTGAGGGTTTCAGAGCCAGGAGCTCGGGAACCGAGGCCCAGCCGGGGTTTGGGCCCCACCGTCCCGGTGAGGCCTCGTCCCTACTCGTAGCAGCGGGATGATCTGCGACCGGCCAGCACGTGGCCAGGCCGGGCACACACAGCCCTGAGG